TCTCTCTCTCTCTCTCTCTCTCTCTCTCTCTCTCTCTCTCTCTCTCTCTCTCTCTCTCTCTCTCTCTCTCTCTCTCTCTCTCTCTCCCTCCCATTGGCGCGTTCCGGCGTTCTGGGTCCACAGGTCCCTCTGAATCAGTAGATGGTCTGGACTTCCTGAGATGGGTAGTGAGGGGGGGACCGGCTTCCCTTCTCATGTGTCTTTCTGTTCTCGATTTTTTTGTTATGTTTTGTCCTTTCACAGGCCGTTCCCATCTATGTTAGCGATTCGATGGCAGGCGGCATCGACATATGTTGCTACAGTTCGCTTCCATCTGTACAGTCTTTTCACACCTCCGCGCCCGATGCTCCTGAGAACTCCTGCGAGAGCCGGTCCCCAGACATTGTCGTCACACCATCGAAACATGGTCATCGTGCACACCGTGTTGCTCGTATGCCCGGATGCCAATTCAGAGACTGGGGTTTGCCATCTGCCAATGTCAACGTCGTGAGGCGTCTTCGTCTTGACGACATCATCAACGACGTCGGCGTCTTGCCTTCTGATGACGGCGCAGGACCGGCGTCTGGGTCTCCTGATCTTTCGCTTCGAGGACATTCGCCACCGGCAACTCGCACTGACGATCGTTATGTCCCGGTGGACGTGCTTTCGTTGCCGTCGTGCGAAGGCAGTGAAGGGGGGGTGGGTCGTGCTGCTCGTTCATCAGACGTCGACTTGCCAGTCGGAGAAGACACCGCGATATCTCCCTTGTCTATGTTGTGCGGTGAAAAAGGAAAGAGAAAATACATATACAGACTAAGAAAAAGAAGTTCTTCAACATCCAGCTCCACTTTCGAACGTAGATGTAGCGTCGACGAGTGCGAGGCCGTCCTCCGCAAAACATGTTGCAAGACGTTTCGCTGTCTTTCTAAACTTAGAGTGCAGGACGTTATGAAATGTAGACGTGACTACCGTGTTCTCAGAGGGCATGACGTTATGAAATGTAGATGTGAAATGTAGACGCTCCCAAGCCGGAGTTTAAACCGCACGAGTCTGTCGCCGTGAACAACTTCGTCGTGTTCCGCGCGCCCGACGAGTATGTTGCAAAGGGCTGCACATTCTGGATTGGACGAGTTTAGGAGCGGGACGATAATCGCATCCGTGTCAAGTATTGGACTCCCTGCGAAAGGGAGCGCGATTTGACAAAGCTGTATGCGGGCGCATGAGAAAAATCATGGAAGGTCGAAACTGAAACAAACGACGGGTGGCAAGACCTCGACGCCGTTATGTGGGCATGGTCCAACAATAAAGGCTCTGAAACGGGTATGCGGATCCCGAAACAAGAAGCTTTGAATGCTCAGTTGTCGTTGGCTGTCCCTGACAAGACGCCTTCATCAACGCACGATATGGGATCTGCTTCAGACACATCTGTGTAGTCGTGACGTGTGCCATGCATAATGGAGATCATCTTTTGAACACGAACAGATTAGTTCACATCGCTAATTGCTCCATTGGATTGCGTTTTTCTCCTTCATTCATTGTGTTTAGAATGTTTGCATCGTCGGACTGGAAGCGCAACGAGAAATGGGGGACACCTGTGCGCTGGCAGGAACTCATCTCATGGAAAACAAGAACGCAAATGAGAGTTGTCGGTATAGACTGCACCGACTGGTGCGCATCTTGGCCCTCGATTGAGCTGTGGTACGACGAGATGCGAGATGGAGTTTACAAGCTTGCCAAGACGATAGTGTCGGATGCAGACTTCGGAAGCTACGACTCCGGCAAATAGACCGAAGTGTTCTATGGATTGGGGTTTGTTCACATGTGGGGCAGGGGGGGTGAGCATCATGGATCGGTAACGTGCGTGGCGTTCTGCTCAGACGGTGGTCTGACACAGTGCGCAACACGGATTGAACGAACGAAGGTGCCGTCGACGTTCGAAAACAGCAACTACAGGAGGGCGACGCTAAAGCTTGTCAGACGTCTATTCAACGAAATCAAAGATGCAATGTTGTGTGTCATCAACGAAAGGTCGAGGATCGCCATTCACGTGGTGACGATCGTGATAACATGCCGCAACAAAGAGGGTAAAACGAAAAAACTTAAAAAAACTAACACCGTCACAAAGTTTAATATCATCGATCATATTCATTGGCGCGAAAGTGGCAAACGGAACAACCTGCAATCCGTCTTGCGTGCTTATCCGCATTGACCGAAGTTCATCTGTGCTTTTGATGTATGTTTTTTTTTTTTTTTTTTCTCTCTTTATCTTTTTCGTATTGGTCTGTGCAGTATGGATTCGGAATAGATGCAGAGACAGTTAAGACAAGATTGGTAGGGAACGTCAATCAAATGAAAGGAACTGATATCAGACCGGCTGAGGCGACAGCGTAACTCCATCGGACTTGTCACCTGGGATTTTGCATATTACGAACCGTCACTGCACTTGTATCCTCTAAGCGCAAGAAGAAAGATTTACAACCTCGTGGGGTTGTGCGACCGTCAGAATAATAATAATTACAAGAAGGACGGGAACGCAAGATACAAGGAGGTATTCTACGGTTACAGCCTTGTGGCTGCCCCGGTGACAGAGAAATGCAGCGCCACCATTGCATGTGTTGCTGTTCAATACCACGAAGGGCTTACAATATGTACAACGAAGACATGGAGACAAAAGATCCCGCGAAGTGATGCAGGAGACTCGATGGTGCGAGCGTACAAGCAGCACGTTAAACAATATTGTATTCACGCACGGGATGCAATGTTGGAATTCGTTGCTCGGAGGACTGCCATCACTGCTTCTATCTCAACAGTCATTGTAGAGAACGAAGAAGCAATGGGGGTCAACCGCAAATTCAAAAAAATCAAGTTAACCACCAACTTCAACATTACGAAGAGTGTACTCCGTTGAGCCAACGGTCTGATCAACGACCTTGTTCACTTGCGCTGCTGTAGCACTTCCGGACATTTTGTTGTACACAAGTTGTAGCTTAGCACTGTTGACGGAGATGGCAATAGAGTAGATCATGCGCTCGTACGAGTGCTCATATCGTTTTTTTTCGGTCATGTGCCGGATCTTAGGTTTTTTTTTTTTCAAAATTATGTCGAACTGGATTTCCACCTTTTGTACGATCATGTATGACTGCACATCAACAGTAGTGTGGAGGAGTGTATGAACTCTACAACACCAACTTTCATAGACATTGTCTTAGTCAAAGAGAGAGAGAGAGAGAGAGAGAGAGAGAGAGAGAGAGAGAGAGAGAGAGAGAGAGAGAGAGAGAGAGAGAGAGAGAGAGAGCTATACGGCACCAACTTTCATAGACATTGTCTTAGTCAAAGAGAGAGAGAGAGAGAGAGAGAGAGAGAGAGAGAGAGAGAGAGACATGGAGTCTCTCTATGTACATATATTTCCGCGCACATGTATCATATGCCGCATGAGCTAAAATCCGCATCAATGTTGCTTTGTATTTATCTAAAGAAGTCAATTTTCTTTTACATGAACTTCGAAAAGATTCACATAACGTTGTTCGTAATTCTTGGGTGGCACGAAAAGTCTCAAACATTCATAGATGTCCATGGAGTTTTTTTGTCATTGACTGAACTTGCCATATGTGTTTTTGAGTATGGTATTCAATATGTGTCTGTTGTCTTAATGCATTTGTCAATAAAAAACAAAAAATAGCTGATACTATATTGCGAAACATAGTAAATGCTAATCGATATGATAGAAAAGTATAATAGAAATCCATAATGAAGACCCCTATAGCTTCACATAATGCGAATGAAACTGTAATACCCCCCAAAATGTGTGAGAAAGCAATGGAAAACTTGTGGTAAACATGAGCACAAACTATAAACAATGCGGGGTACCTACTCAAAATAGTGTGCTCAAAACGCAAAAAATCACCAAAATCAACATGAAAATGACGATTTCAATTTCGTTCAAAAAATATAAAATGTCCGTTTTGACGAAATCGTCGTTTAGTGCCTAAAGGCGTCTAAACACCGTAGGACAACTAACACCTCCTTCTTGAACTGACTATAGTTGCGTTCAACGTTGTTGAGCGTACGACTTTCAAATCTTAGCGGTTTTTCCTTACCGTTGGTGTCCTTCTAAGAAAGCATCCCTCCAACTGAACATGGTCCAACATCCGTTGACACTATGAAGGGTCTGTTGGTTTCGTCCTCGACAGATGGCACACCTAGGATTCGTCCCCCTTCTTTAAATTCTTCCTTGAGGGTTAACACCGCGAGCTTTTGAGGAGAATCCCAGTAAAGCCGCTCAGTTTTCCAGAGGAGAATCTGTAGAGGCTTTGCCTTCTTCGCGTACCCACGTATGAAGATCCGCTAGTAACCTACAACTCCTAGGAATTGGTGGACTTTTGTAGCGCTATGCAACGGAGTTGGTCAGTTCAAGAGTTTATACAGTTTCGCTGGATCTGCTCACCGTCCTCTCGAATCACAAATGAACCCTAAAATCTTAATCGATGAAACTGCCCACCGGCTCTTTATTCCACTGACCATTAGATTACCATCATATAGTTGTTCCAGGACCGCATAGATATCTTTCAAGTGCTGGTCTACGAATCTCTTAACTCCAGGAGCGACCTCCGTCTCGTCTTTCAGTACAGACCCTTCGTCTTTCAGTACAGACCTCCGTCTCGCATAGATATCGGGAAGTCGTTTAATAAGACTTTAACTTTATTAGGAATGAAGTCTTTCAGTACAACTACCATCGCTCTGTGGAAGACCGCAACCCCATTGGTCCATCCTACAGGTACGACCATCATCTGCACTAATTCGAGAGGCGTATGCATCGCAGTAAGGTGTTTATCTCTAGGATCTAGAGGTATTTCGCTATAACCTGAAAACAAATCGCGGATAGAGTAGATCGATCTACCTGCTGGCCCCTCTGCTAATAGGTCAGCATGCGGTATGGATCCGACATTTCGGATGGTAACCACATTAACCTTATGAAGATCTTGAATCCACTGGATCTTCTCATTAGGCTTCCACAAGAAGAACCACCTATTCGCATAAGCGCTATCAGACGACTCCGCCATATGCGACGTCATCTTCTTTTTTAGAAAAACAATCATTTCTTCCTTCTCTTTCTGGGCAAACTTCCACCCTGCGTCATTCCATGGAGTGTGCGGAATCGTGTAGATCCTGACATGTTTAGCATACCTAGGATCAATTCTTCCTCTTTCTGCGTCGCTAAAGACTATGACCTTATTATAAGTCTTAATAATCTTCAGTACGCGCTCTTTCTCCTGCTCAATCAAATTTTCATCTCCTGTGTCTATCTCTGTTATCCTCTCTTCCGTTTGTCGTTGCGGTTTCCTCTTCTTCCTTTCTTCAATCTCTTGAGCAATCTCTTCTTCAGATATCCCGTCTAGCGCTGAATGCTCTCGAGCTACTGCCGCCAGCTTAACATTTTGAGCTACTTTCTTGTGTCTCTTGGGTTGCCCTTAAAAAAGACACCGCGATCATACCTCCAAACTCCTTATCTTCAGCCTTCGGATAAGAGTTTCTACCCACGAGGACGCGATCACCTAAGTCCTCGATTTTCAGTATGCGCTCCTCTTCCTCCGTGAGAGACGTCCCATACTTCCTCTCGCGGAATCGCAGCAAGCGACTTGCAAGGGTGGTTGGCTTGCGTGTGCCGCCAGCCGCTAAAGCCACTCTATTCCTTGGATCACGAGGCTCGACTGTCTCTATC